ACTGTTAACACCACATATAGGTCAGACTGTTTACAGACACATTAGCTTAGTGCTCATGTGTGGTAGGATTTAGTATTAGGATAAGATTTCCAAACATTGTTTCAAAGTGTGGTATTTAGTTGTGGGTCCGCTAACCTTCTTTAATGCAGTCCTCACTGAGCACTCTTGACTGAGACTTGCCAGTACACTGGAATGAATGTCACAATAGGCTCTGAAGACTAGAGCAACTGGTGGATTGGAGAGGTGAATCAAAGCCATTTCAAATTAAGAATGCTTGAAACAAATTTCTGAACTATGCGTTTGATCATAGTTATGCTTTTGCAGACGAAACCATACTCGGACTTAAGTGGTAAAGGATGTCTTTGCCATTCCTTCAGATAGCAAGAAAGGTGATCAATTTTGCTAAAACAGAGGTCTGTAATTCCAGTAACTCTTACCCACAGCTTTTAGCTCTTGTACGGCTGTCAGCGGCCAGTCATCTTGGGCGCAGGTGATTTAATTACATCTGAGATCCTGTAAACAGGCATCTTCTCAATCCTGTCCTGAAATTTCAGTCCATCTTGGTACATCCCCCAAGACTGAAGAGATGTCTTTTTTGAATGATCAGTGGATCAGACATATGTTCCATACAAAAATGCTTTTATTATTGGTTTGATTATTAAAAGGTTCTTTTAATAATGGGAGGCTGATTGAAGTCCCGAGAATAACTGTCCAACCTTTTGTGTATGGAGACCTGGTGAAATACGTTAAGCTTTCTCAAGGAGAAATGTACTAAAGTGTCAGACTCACTGTCATATGTGGCAGGTGTGTGTGTGTGTGTGTATATACACATACACGTGTGTATATTATGTCACTCATGTTTTAAACACATGGAATGTGCAGTCCTCAAGACCAGAAAACATGAGGTCACAAACAACCATAATGGCCATCTAGATAGAGTAGACGGGTCTGAATTCTAGGTGTATTGTGGAAGGAAGGATGTGTTGATAAAGGTAGGCAATAAAAATAGTCACAGACTCCTACCCCTGCATCAGTATGCCTGTCAACTAGAACCTAAATAGAGAACAAGGGTTGCACATGGTGGTTTCCTTTCTCCCCACAGCTCTTGGGGCACGCACCCATATCTTAATTTTACCTGTGGAACTGATTTGATATTGCCAACTACATCTTGCTTGGGGTTTTCTTTAAGAGAGGAGATATCAAAATGGCACAGAGTGAATGTGTCTCTTCATTTCATCTTTATTGGTAGCTGTAAGGAAAGGATCATGTGCATAAATATGGTGAGTCTTTTTCTTAAAGCTATAAAAATAGAAATGTTGAAAATCATGAGAGTCATACTGTTAACAAATTTTGAGCAAGGTGCGAAGGGCGAGACAGAATTTAAACAGACCCTTGGGTCATTCCAACTGATGTGAAAAGTTCATTGATTAATGGACAAAACTGAGATTAATTGCCGAGGATAAGCACAGTGTTACAGGACAAGTCTCTCTCTGCCACAGACGGCTCTCAGCCTGCTTCTCCTCAGCCGGGAGTGTGGGGTAATCCTTCAGTGTTGAGGAAAGTGTCTTGGTCAGGGTTACCATATTTCCAGTTCCAAAAAAGAGGACACCTGTGGGTGGGGCGGGAGCATATGGTTGGGGGGAGCAGTGATATGCCTGCCCCTGACTCCCAAGCCACAGGCCCCCCAGCCCTGCTGCTGCCCCTGACTCCTGCCCCGCAGACCATGCTGGTACCCCTCACTCCCAACCTGCAGTGCCCCCCCCGCCCCCATCCCTGCTGATGTCTCAGTCCCAACCTGCAGCGCCCCCTCCCCCCATCCCTGCTGGCATGTCTCACTCCCAACCTGCAGCCCCCTGGCCCCGCCTGTGCCCCGGGCTCCCAACCCACAGTCCCCTCTCCCTCTGGTGTGCCTCACTGTCAAGCCACAGCCCCCAGCCCTGCCCATGCCCCTCACTCCTGATCTGCAGCCCCTACCCCTTAGCCTTGCAGGTGCCCCTCACTCGCGACCTGCAGCCGCCTACAACCCACACAGCTCCCTGCTGCCTCTCAAGAATCCCCCCAACCCTCTTCCACTGTTGGCGGGACAGGCACCTCCCCTGCGTTGCTGCAGCCCCAGTGCAGGCAGGCGTGCACACCCACACCCATCCCATCCTGCCCAGCCCCCCACAGCCCTACTTGCCTGCAGCTGCTGGGGCCACGCACAGAGCATGTGGTGCCCCTGGCCTACAGTCACCCTTCCCCTTCTCCCCCCAGCCCCAGGCAGCTCCTTGCTGGGGCAGGCTGGGAAGTGATGGGAAAGCAGAGGCAGAGCGAAATCCTGGACATTTTCTGATATTTTAAAAAGACTGCCCGGGTGGAGATGGGAGTACCCAAAAAGAGGACATGTCTGGGAAAACCTGGACCTGTGGTAACCCTAGACTTGATATGCACAGCAGTCCCACAGATGTTGTCTGAAGAGTTACCCTTCCCAAGTTCCTTCCACTCGCATTCACTGTTTGAGGATGGCTGGTAAATGTGATCTTAATATTCTAATCCAAGATTCCTCATTGCCTTTGTTTAAATGTCTTTGTTTCACTGAAGCCTTCAGAGCTGGATCAGACCAGGTTCTTTTTGTGGATAAGAAAGGTGGATCTTTTGGGGGATCCATTAGCAGCAGGATACTTCCTTCTTTTCTTTCTTATCCACTTCTCTCTCGCTGTCTCTCTGTGTGTCTGTCGCTCTCTCTGTCTCTCTCACAATTTATCTAAACTTTCTAAGAACAATCCATACAGTTAGCATTAGTGGTGGTTATGCAGAAAAGCTCTGCGCAGTGAGTTTTGAATGTTAATTTTACCGTAATCATTTGACGCTTTCCTGCCCTCTTGACTTTTTAAATCTTTTAAAATGGTAATATTTCCTAAATGTTTCTAGTGATGTATGCATAATGTGTGGTCTTGAATTGTAGTTAGGTTTTTAATTCTATTGAAATGATTGGGAATTTTGTCTTTCCTAACAATAAGATATGAGTTTATTTGCAGAAAAAAGTAACATGCTTGCATAACTTGATTTCTTTGTATTAATTTGTTTTATATGTGGGTGCGTCTACATGTGCAATTAATGTGCTTGAATTTTCTGTTCAGAAAATTCAGGCGCATTAAACTGCACCCCAGCATGCATCTGAGCATGTGTCCATTGGGAGCAGTTTAGTCTAGGACTGCTCCTGCCCTGTTCTGCCCTCTGGGCTCCCCCAGGTCCCAGCCCTGTGCTGGCAGGGGGCACAGGGCTGGCCCCAATGTCCGTGGGTTGAAGGAGAGCTGTCAGGACAGATCCCAATGTCCCCGTGGCTGGCAGGCAGCTTCCTGCCAAGCTGTGATAGCTCTCCCCACCTCCTGTGGCCCGCTGCTGCCTAGGCTGACGGGGAGCAATTTGCTCCCCGTCAGCTTCTACACGTGTGCTTCAGCACATTAGTTTAATGTGCTGATTTGAATTAATCTACTGTGTAGTACTTGCTGCGCATGTGTAGATGGTGATGCTTGACTGCACATTAGATTAATGCACAGTAAAGTGTCTTGTGTAGATGCAACCCCTGCTAGCTAATGGCAACCAGTAGTAGAATAACAAGATGAGAATTTTCTTCTGGAAATGTATACTTCTCATTCAGTATTGAGAGAACCACTGCAGTTCACAGTTTTTTAGTTTTTCATTTTGCAATTTTACTACTTTACAAGTGTTCATATTTTGAAATTGCCACCATACTCACACATTTTATTATGCACAGTCTGTAGAAAACATCACACCATCATTTTGTGTTTTCTGTTAAAATTGTTATGGGAGAGAATTTCTTAGAAGTTCTGCTAGAGCTGGCGTGTCAGACTCTCCCTGAGCCAGCTCCATTGAGCCAGTGCCAGCTGTGGTGGTAGTCCTGGGGGTCAGTAGTTGGCAGGGCAGTTCTGCGTGGGCCTCTCTCTCTGCCTCGCTTGCCACCCCACTTGCTGCTAAGAGCAGAGCCAACCCTAGCGGGGTGCAGGGCCTGGGGCAGACCAGCCTTTGCAGGGCCCCTTTAACACTGTGCGGGGCTGTGGGACACACCCCCCCCCCCCCCCCCCCCCCCGCCCCCAAGGGCAGGGCACGGCAGTGCCATAGCAATGAAATTTGACACCGGGGCCAGCAGATCCCACGTGCTCCGGATGAGCTGCCCTTCAATGGACATGAAGCTGGCGGTGCATGGGGTGGGGGTTCGGGTGGAGGGGTAGGGGTGGCGAGCGGCTGGACGCTTCTTCTGTGACGCGGGGCTGAGCCACCAGCTCCAGGCGGGCCCCTCAGGAGGGGCCACAGCCACTCTGCCTGGCTCCCGGGGCAGTCGCCACAGTTCACCCTACCCAAGGGATGGCTCTGGCTAATAGCCATGTTGCTGGAAGTGGTATGTCAGCCAGAGTCAAGGTACCACAAAGTCTGTGGCAGGCTACACCCCACTAGCCTTACCTCCAACTTCCAGTAGCCTGTCACAATACCAGTAAGCTGGATGGAATGGGAATGTGGGGTCAGGTCCAGCCCACGGGCTGTATGTTTGATACCTCTGTGCTACAGGATTGAAGTAGTTGCCTTTTGTTCCTTATAATAGTAAAATGTGAAATGCTGTCTTTTGCCACTCATGTTTTAATAAGCACTAGTATAACCGTATGTTTGGGAAACAGTGCGACCCCTCTTTTGTGCCTTTGAGCCACACTGTTCTTTCTTGCAAATCTCCCTGATTTGTGGCATGCTGATTTACTTAGAAAGCTCTACTGAATTCAGTGGGTATCTTTCCATTGAGTTTATTAGCCTTTAGATCAGGACCAAAATGAGCATATCTTCCTTTTGAAGCCCATTCTTTTCAATGTAAAAAAACCCCCAAGAATTTTATTCTGAGTTTTCTGTCCATTTAATAAAATATAACAGCTATTTTAAGTCAAGGCGGTCTGAAACACTGCTTGAAACTTGATAGAAAAAAATAATAATTCTATCTTTCAATTTTTTCTTAGATGGGATCAGTGTTAGCGGACTTCCGCTTTCCAGCCCTTTTCGACAAATTGTCAAACCGCGAGTAGAAAGTAAGCCTATCAATCCTCCTGAAAGCAGCAAAGCTGGTGACTTCAGTCACGTAAAGGTAAGTTTGTGGCATCAAAATAGGTGAAGGCTTCAGCCTTTGTTTTGTACTAAAGATACCTGAAAAAAATTCCCCTTCCTTTAAAGTTTTCTCTCTCCCTGGCTCACCTGCTACCTTTTAGTAGTTTGAAGAAGTTTGTTTTTCTGTATCTTTGGACTTTGTGTGCATGCACGCGCACGCAGACACACATCCACACGACATAACTTAAAGGGATGCTATCAAGTAGACTGTGCTGATAAAGATGTCTGTTCTTGCCTAGCTTCTTTAACTGAGGCTTGTGATAAAGTGGATGTAAAGAGCTCATTTTAGTTGTGGGTTCTCACTGATGAAATGTACTTATTTATTAAGAGAGCTCATACTCTACATGATATGGACTTTAGGTCTTGAGGTCTTGCCTTCAGCATGGATAGCAAGGTTAAAATGTTGGTCCACAGCCTAACAGTGCTGATTTAAAAAACAAATAAACAACCCCCCCCCCCCCCCCCCCGCAAAACCCCAAAAAGCTAGTATCCTAACCTATTAACAAAAGTTTCCCAGTGAGAGATTAATTCTACTCAACACTGAGGCCTTGCCTGGTGTACTGTGTCCAGGTTTGGGCACTGTACTTCAACCAAGACATGGACAAATAGGGAGGAGTCCGGAGGAGAACAAAATGAAAATTATTAAAGGTATAGAAAACATGATATGAGGAAAGGCTGGAAAAACTTGTATTATTTAGGTTGGAGAAGAGAACTGGTGCTTAACTGCCCCCCCCCCCGCCCGCCAACACA